AAAAAATCGTCTTATACGCCGGCAAATACGGTAGTTGTCTGGCCTCTTTGAACTCATAACACTGTCTCTTGAACTCTGAAACAACATTGACTCCTCCTTCCTGTGCTGTGGCTTGGAAAGTATCTTTGGGAATTAAGTTGAGGCACTTTATTCATGTCTCTTCTGTTGGGATGAGAGGCTTGTGCTGGCATTTGAATGAAGTCTGTTTCATATATTTTGTCTGATTTTCTAGTTAGGATTTTGACTTCATAGTCAGAAACAGAGTTAAGTAGACATTTTTGAAGTTGCAGATATATTTTGAAGTAGGAGAAATATTTTTGAAACAAAATTACTTCTAAGGTATCGTTTAATTTTTTTACATACGTTTTTCTTATGTATTTTTAAAATGTCAAATTTAAACCATCATGCAGGAGTCATTTTCAAAATGACTTCATTTGTTTACTTCGTGATTTCTAATTGGATATTATGTTTAATTTAACTTTGTATAGCTGATTAGCTGATATATCCTATTTCAAAGATTATTGAGATAGTGTACATAATGCCATCTCATATGCGTATTTTGGGAATTACTAAATATGGATGCTTTATAATTTCCTCACATTTCAATTCCTTTCTCCCATACTTTGAAGATACATGTGATTAGGCGGGGGAGGCTATATAGAGTTAAAAAAACATTTGTAGTAATTTACTTTGCTTACAATCTCTTTGTCTTCTGCTACAGAGACTTCTGATCAGGATTTTAATATTTTTCAAAATAATCCAGGGCAAGAATTCAGTCTTCATCTGTTTTAAACCAAAACCTTTCTTTAGTTGTGATCTCTTTCCCAAGATCTAGTTGTAAACGATTTAGCTAGAAATATTGACCTGGAAGGTCTTATTCAAAATTATTTATGCACATTCTTCTCTACATCTTATAAAATGCCTTTTCTTACTAACAGTTTTAGTTGTCTCCGAAGTTTAAAAGCTCTGACCCTTTCCTCTCTCGGTCTTCTTTTCTATTCTCACTACTATCATTCCATGCCAAGTGGTTAGAATCTCAAGCCTGTGTTACACAGTAGCCTCCAGTTAGGTCTTTCTGATCTCAGCCTCCTCCCCTAATTTTTCATACAATATATGAATGTCAGTTTATGTTTCCTTTACCAATATACTCATCTTGACCTTTTTTATTTTTTTTTATTTTTATTTTTAAATTGGGGAATTGGGGGAGGGGAACGGTGTTGGGGAATGGGGAAGAGGAACAGACAAATTGCTGTCCTTTTGTTCTTCAGTCTAGTTGTGGAGGACTTCGCTTCACTGGCCCATGGTGGTATTATGATCATTGCGCTTTTCCCGGGTGAGGCAGTTGCTTGCCAGCCATTGGATGGCTGCTCAAGGCCAGTCACACCAGCTGCTGGCTGCTCACACTTGGCTGCCAGCCACTCACAGTAGTTCAAGGCAGACCACTGCCGCCCCACTGCAGCCTATGCCGACACCGGCGACTCACGGCAGCCCAGGTCCAGGTTGAGCTGTTGTTCACCATCTTAGCTGTAGAGGGCGCAGCATCACTGGCCCTCATGTGGGATCCCAACCGGGGCCCAGCTGCTGAGAGCTGGTGTCCCAAGCCAACTCTTAACCAACACGCCATTCAGCCGTCCCTCATTTTCTATTTATTTATACAACCCTTTTGTTATTTTTCACACAGTGATCTTAACTCTTAAAATTCTGTGGACAATTAAATTATCTAACTGCATTAGGACAAAAGCTCTGGTCTCAAATCCCTGACCCCTTTGCTCAAGTTACAGGTGCACTGAATTAGGAAGGTTTTAATGTGGTCTGTTTTTCTTGGATTTGGGAGAAATCCAGGCCACTGGAGCCATTTGTAGATGATTTGTGATTTGGTGATCTTTAGGTTGATCAAAATTGCCCTGTTTTCCTAGGCAACATTGTCTTACCTTATAGCAGAGTTAATTTTCTGGATTGACTCATATTTCTGGGATGCAAGGTAGTTTGTTCACATTTTATGGCCCTCAGTTATTTTGGAGTAGGCCCTTCTATGCGGTGACTTAAGGAGTGTTTCTCTAATCTGTTTCTAATCTCATTTTACTTATCCATCTCTCCCCTCCTCTTTTTAAAAAATGAGTCTTTTGGGACTTTGTCCCTATGATGTTTATTTTTATTGTAAGATTTTATATTATTAGCTTTTTCATATATTCTCTGGAGATCATGTGTGATATGGTCTTGATAGTATAAAACTAGTGGTATATATTTTTTAAAACTTTACTCACTGTATTAGAAAAACAAGGTAGTGTTTACTTTTAGATTCCAAATACATGGCTTGCCTCTGATTCCAGGCCTTTATGTTTACCTTGTTGACATAAGTCTTTTTTTTTTTGTATGGTATCTTTTTTGAGATATAATTCATATGCCATAAAATTCACCCTTTTATGGTATACAGTTCACTGGTTTTTAGTGTATTCATAAAGTTTTGCAGCTGTCACCACCATCTATCCTCAGTTCCTTTTCATCAACCCAAAAAGAAATGCAATACCCATTATCTGTCACTCTCCATTCACCCCCTTCTGAACCCCTGGCAACCACAAATCTACGTTGTGGATTTGCGTATTCTGCACATTTCATATAAATGGGATCATCCAAAATGTGGTCTTTTGTGACTGGCTTTTTCATTTAGCATAATGTTTTTAAGGTTCATCCGTCTTGTGTCATATATCAGTACTTCATTTCTTTTTATTGCTGATTAATACTGCACTATATAGATATACTATGTTTTACATTCATCAGTTGATAGACATTTGAGTTGTTTCCAGTAATGCCGGAGAATGAGTATTGAGTAATGCTGCTGTGAATCTTCATGTACAGGTTTTATATAGACAATTCATTTCTCTTGGGAATAAACCTAGTAGTGGAATTGTTGGGTCAAATGGTAACTAACTATGTTTAACTTTTTGAGGAGCTTCCAGATGTTTTCCAAAGTGGCTATACCATTTTACATTTCCACCAGCAATGTGAGGGTTTGAATATCGCAAATCTGTTTTTCTGATTCTTTTGATGTTATTATAGGTGGAATTGTGGGTGTGAAGTAGTATTTTAAAAAAATTTTTATTATTAGTTTCAGGTAGTAGTATTTTATTGTGGTTTTGATTTACCTTTCCCTGACGACTAATAATAGCAAGCATCTTTTCATGAGCTTGTTGGCCATTTATAGTTCTTCAGAGAAAAGTTCATTGATATCTTTTGCCCATTTTTAAATTCTGTTGTCTTTTTATTTTAGAGTTGTAGGAATTTTTTATATATCCTGGATACAGATCTCTTATGAGATCAATGATATGGAGTTTTTTTCTACCTTTTTTAATGGTGTACTTTGAAATACAAAGTTTTTAATTTTAATGAAGTCCAGTTTACTTAGTTTTTTTTTTTTGGCTGCTGTGCTTTTGGTGTCATATCTAAGAAACCATTGTCTAATCCAAGATCATGAACATTTGCCCCTTTGTTTCCTTTGAAGGATTTTATAGTTTTAGCTCTTAGATCTAGGTCTTTGATCCACTTTGAGTTAATTTTTGTGTATGCATTGAGATAGAGTCTAACTTCATTTCCTTGCATATGGATATCTAGTTGTCCCAGCACCATTTATGGCAAAGAGTATCCTTTCTTTATTGAATTGTTTTGGCATCCTTGTTGAATTGGCCATAAATGGAAGACTTACATCTAGACTTTCAATTCTATTGCATTGATCTGTATGTTCATCCTTAGCTATATGTCTGTATCACACTGTCTTAATTGCTATAGTTGTATGGTAAGTTATAAAACCTAGAAGAGTGAGACCTACAATTTTGTTTTTCTTCTAAAGGTTGTTTTGCTTGTTCTGAATCTCTTGCATTTCCACATGAATTTTAGGATTAGTTTGTTAATTTTTGCAAAAAAAAAGGGGCAGCTAGGACTTGATAATAAGGGATTATGCTGAGTCAGATTAACTTGGGAAGTATTGCCCCCTTGAAGATATTAAGCCTTCCGATCTATGTATGTGGCTGGCCTTCCATTTGTTTAGGTCTAATTTTTTTTCAACATGTTTTGTAGTTTTCAGTGTACAGGTTGTACACTTTGTTAAATTTATTCCTAAGCATTTTATTTGTTTTGCTGTTATTGTAAGTGAAATTGTTTTCTTAATTTCATTTTTGGATTGTTCATTGCTAGTGTGTAGAAATAAAATTGATTTTTGTATATTGATTTTGTGTCTTGCAACCTGTTTAACTTGTTTATCAGTTCTAATAGTTTTTTAGTGAAGTCCTGAGGATATTTTTGTATACAAGATTATATCATCTTCAAATAGAGGTAACTTACTTCTTCCTTTCCAATGCAGGTGTTCTTTATCTCTTTTTCTTGGCTAATTGTCCTGTCTAGAATATCCAGTATAATGTTGAATAGAAGTGGTAAGAGTGACCATTGCTGTACTGTATTGTTCCTATTCTTAGGTGAAAGCATTCATCTTTTACAATTAATTATGATGTTACTCTGGACTTTTTATAGGTGCCCGTTATCATATTAATGAAGTTCCCTTCTATTTCTATTTTGTTGAGTGTTTTTCTTGTGAAAAAGTGTTAGATTTTGTCAAATTCTTTTTGTGTCTGTTGACATGATCTTTTTTCTGTCCTTTATTAACCTGGTAAAGTACATTCATGGTGAGTTTATTACCTATATTACATGGTGAGTTTCATATGTTAAACAAAACTTGCTTTCCGGGGATCCCTCTTGTTCATGGTGTATAATCCTTTTGTGTTTTGCTGCGTTTGGTTTGCTAGTATTTCCTTGAGGATTTTTGTGTCAATATTGATAAGGTATATTGGTCTATTTTCTTTCCTCATGATGTCTTTGTTTTTGTTTTGGTATCATAGAATGAGTTGGAGAGTATTCTTTCTCTGTCTAGTTTATGTAACAGTGTATGAAGAATTGACCTTAAATCTTTCTTTAAGACTAATGGTATTTCAACATTTGTTTTTATCTTTTAGGATTCTCCTTTTACAAATGCAGGAATGGGATCTAATCTAAATCTCTTGGGTGAAATTGAGTGTGATGCCAGCATAATGGATGGAAAATCCTTAAATTTTGGAGCTGTTGGAGCACTGAGTGGTATGTGGAGATTATAACACACTATCTCTAGTCTTTAGAAAACTGTGACTATTGATCATTCCATGCTGCTCAAAGACTTAGTCCAGTCTTTTCTGCCATTCTTGCTTGGAATAGTGTTGAAACAAACATTTTTTTCTTTTAATGAATTTAAAACATGAAACCTTAGCTATGCATAGTTTTTAAAAAAATGAGTGAAATGACATATGTGCAAGTCTTTGTTAGAGTTTGGTCATTCTTCTTCATACCCTGAAGAGATTATAGACATATAAAATGTGTTAGCATATTTTATTAATTTTACAATTATTTGAAATAATATATTTTTATTGTTAAAAAATTCAAATGACATACAAGCATACCTCAGAGATATTGTGGGTTCTATTCCAGACCACCTCAATAAAGTGAATGTCGCAATAAAGTGAGTCACAGAAATTTTTTGGTTTCCTAGTATGTATTAAAGTTAACAACAACAACAAAAGATATATGCCCTTGTAATTTCTATATACATGATCATATTACCTGTGAATCATGACAGTTTTGCTTTTTCCTTTCCAATGTTTAAATTTTTATTTTTTTCTTGCATTATTATACTGTCTGTCACATCCAATGTAATGGTGATAGTATACATCCTTGCTTTGTTCCTGGTCTTAAAGGGAGAACATTAAATATTTCACTATTCTGTATGCTGCCAACTGTAGGATTTTCATAGATGCTTTTTATCAGATTGAAGAAGTTCCCTTCTAATCTTAGTTTGCTGATAGTTTGTATTATAAATGGGTATTGAATATCATTAAGTTCTTTTCTACATCTATTGCGATATGGATTTTTCCCCTTTATTTTGTTAAATACAGTGAAATTTATGATTGATTTTGGAATGTTCCTTTCTTGGCATAAAGCTTTCCTGGTCATAAGTTTTTATTTTTTATATTCTGGATTTTATTTGTTGATGTTTAAGGTTTTGACCTCTATGTCCGTACAATAGACTGGCTTTCATTTTCTTTTCATATAATATTCTTTTCAGGTTTTAGAATCATGTTACGGTTGGCCTCATCAAATGAGTTGAGGTTTTTTTTTTTCTCTGATCTTTGAAAGAGTTTGTGTATGATTGGAATGATTTCTTTTTAATTGTTTGGAAGACTTCATTAGTTATCCTAAATTAGTAGTGTAGTTTTTTTGGTTGTTTGTGTGTGGGAAGTTTAAAAAATGGGATTCAATTTCTTTAACAGTTATAAGACTATATTTTCTTTTTCTCATTTTTTTTCAAGGAATTAATTTTTCTCATATGAGTGTTCACATTTATTTGCCTAAAGACTTTTTAGTTAGCTTTCTTTATTGATTTCCAGTTTACCGTAATTGCACTGTGGTCAGAGACCATATGCTGTATGATTCCAGTTCCTTGAAGCTTTTTGAGACTTGCTTTATGGCTCAGCTTATGGTGTGTTTTGATAAATGTTCCATGTGAATTTCAAAAGAGTATATATTTTGCAGTTGTTGGGTACGTGTTCTATATATCACTTAGGTCTATTTGATTATTCATTGTTCCAATATTCTGTATCCTTTCTGATTTGTGGGCTAGCTAAGAAAGGATATTTCAATTAGTTTTGATTTTAATTTCTTTTATTGTGACATTTTATTGGTATTTAAGGAAGTTTCATATGTTTGAAGGCCATTAACATTTTTGTGTGAACTGACTGTTTATACTTGTGTGGCTTGCCTTTTAAAACTCTGTAATGCACTTTATCATATTGGAATTACAAATTTTTATTTGTCACACTTATTACTTTCTCTTTTCTGGCTTTTATATTTTGCATTTCTTAAGGTTTTTCTCTTTCATAATTATAAGTAGAGTCACCTATATTTTCATCTAATACCTGTATAATTTAATTTTATTTATTATACCTCTTGAATGCATTGTGTATTTTTTCTGAAATGACCAACAAATTGTCCCTACATAATTTAGTGAATAACAACATTAACAACAATAATAATTACCATTTAGTGGGTGACTATTACATGCTACACATTATTCTCCATTAGTTTATATGTATTACTGTATTTTGCCATGTATAATGCATACTTTTTTTGCCCAAATTTGTGAGGGAAAAATAAGGATGTGCATTATACAAGGGTAGTACTAATTCCGTATCTATATAAATGTTTTTAATTCTTTTGTTTATGCTTATGAGTTAAAAGTGTAACTCTAGAAATCAATAACGATATCCATATACAAAATAATACCCTGGAATATGATAATCGATTTTGTTGAACTTATGACAAAATTGCAATGATAAAGAGTTCTTGGCCTTCTATGAAGTGTAAATATCGTAAATTTGTTACTGGTACATAAAATTTCTTGTACCTTGTTTTTGTGTTTTGTAATTATTTGTTACATAAAATTTCTTGTACCTTAATATGTTAAAAAATAAATGCTAAAATTTCTTTATAATACAAAAAGCAAGTACCTAAATATAAACAAATAAAAATTTGAATTAAAAAATTAAAATGGAAGATTTTTTCCCCCTGAAAGTTTGGGCCTAAAATGTGGGTGCGCATTATACACAGGAGAATACAGTAAATCATCTAGTTCTTACAATAACCTTATGAGGTTAGTACTTTTATCCCCATTTACAGATGAGGAAACTGAGACACATGAGAGATTTAGTAGTTTGTTCAAGGCTACTCTCAGTCTGGGTCCAACTGGAAGACAGAAACCACATAGTAGTTTAAAACAGAAGTTTAATATAAAGAATTATTAAATAATGATAGGAGAGTAACTACATAAAGGTGGAAAAAGAACTCAAACTGTATCCTAGGTCAGGAGGAGAATACCGGAGTAAGGATAAACTTGAAAGGGGTTTCACGCCCTGTTGTAGAAGGTATGGTTGCAGCCTACTGTCAGGCACAGGAATTGCTGGGGTACCTAGGCCACAGTCACAGCAAGAGCAGGGAAAGTGCTGTGGGGTGCAGGCGAGCGCAGTCTGGTAGGTGGGCACACAGAGGGCAGGCGGCCTTGAGAATTAAACATGTGCTGGGCAGGATAAAGAACTGGGCTTTTGGCTCATTAGGCAGCCAACCCCACAGGGCACTTTGCTATGTGTGCCTGTGGGGCTGAGGAGAAGATGTGGGGATCAGAGCCTTGACAGTACTGTTCTTTCCAGGGTTGTCAGCTGTGCTGCTGTGGCCTGAATCCTGAGCTGGGGAAAACGTGGTGGCTAAATGCTGGAGAAAACTGTACCCTGCAGGTGCTTAGCACTGGGGACTAGCATCTGGGCCAAACTGGAGAAAAACTCATGCTCTCCAGGAGCCTGGCTAGCAAGCCACCCTTTCCTCCTGCAGTGTGTCTCAGTGCCCTCTACTGACAAAGCTTACCAGTGTGCCAGCTGGCAAAGGAAACACTTAAAGGGCCCATACCTTTTTTCACAGATCAGGCAACAAAGGGTGAATTTATAGCTCAGAAGCAATACACTGATAGCCGGCACAGTTATAAAAGTCTGACTCCCAGCACTCTGTGTTATTTCTACCTCTTATATATAGTCTATCCTTGTTATACTCATCTGAAATACTATCTATATCATGTATTAAATATTCAAATTCACATGTGTCTATGTCTGAACTTTAGCTTTATTCTATTCCATTGATACATTTGTTTGTTTTGTACCCAAACTACACTCTTTTAATTAGAATAGCTTTTAATAAGAAATCGTATCTCTTAATTTTTTCAAAGTTTTCTCTTCCTGACAAATTTACGAGTCAGCTTGTCATACATCATAGAAATCTTTTTAAAATTTTGAATTTATAGATTTGAATTTATAAGTGAATTTGGCAATTATTAATGCCTTTACAATATTGAATTATCATATACAGAAATATTGGGCTGTTGGAAAAGTCATGATGCATTTTTGCAACGAAAAACAGAAAAATACGTCATGACTTTTCCAACAGCCCAGTATATTTTAAGAGCTAGTACACAGATTTGAGCTTTTCTTTCCTTTAGTATTTCATACTTATTTGTGTGTGAAAGAAGTTTTTGGTATTTAGCTAACTAAATATGTAGCTAGTTTTGTTTTATGTCAGTCTAATGGCCTTAATTTGAGCCTCTCTATATCCCACTGCTGATTTTTTTTTTTTTGTATTTATAGTGTCCTGAGAGGTAATCTTCGGTGAGTTGTTAAGGGCCTAATCTCTGGCGAGAGCTGCCTCTGTTAAAATCTTAGTTTTGTGATGATGGGCAGGTAACTTAACCCTCTGCAAATGTTGCCTCAGTAATCAGAGAGCGTTCATAAGTGTATTTATATGATAGAGTGAAGGGATCAGTTAAACAATTTGATACATATAAGGGTTTGGTGGTGGGCCTGGCACATATTAGATACTAAATTTCTGTCACTGTCTTTTGTTACCATCATCATTGTCATCCTGACAATGTTTTTCACAGTAATACTTAACTGTCCTCTCATTCTTCCCAGGTAAGTGTCCCCTTCTGACTTTTCACATTCTGTTTTCCCTCCTGGAAATAGTCTGAACCATATTTTAGGTTAAAGTCTTGAATATACTTGGTCTCTTCTCTCCAACTGTACTCATTTGTAAGACTTTCTTGTTATTTTGTCTCTCTTGCAAGTAAGATTTAAAATTTTTGGCCATCAATTTTTCTCCCCCAGGTAAATTTGAGGCAGTTTGTAACAATTATGTTTATTTCTTAGAGGAAATCCATGGTTTTGATAGTAGATGCCACATTTTCAGTTCATTTTTCTATTCTATTACTCTGAAGTCTATTAAAAAGGAACCTTATTGAAATATGTATTATTTTAAATTCAGTCTTTGTTACTGTTGTAGCATCCAATAAAACATAGGAATATATGTTTTATATTTGTTTGTTTCTTGCATCTGCTAGGTGTTCATATATTTGTTGATTTGATTGGTATTGTTCATGATAATTCAGGTTTTTCATTAATGTATAAGAGTTTTCCAAGATTATTTAAAAGCTGTCTTATTGAAACTACCACAAAACTGAGTGGGAAACTTGAAGACATTTTTCTGACTTCATTTTCTGCCAATTTTATTTTATTTTATAGGAATCAAGAACCCAGTCTCAGTTGCAAATAGACTCTTGTGTGAAGGGCAGAAGGGAAAACTCTCCGCTGGTCGAATTCCTCCCTGGTAACTACTTTGTTCTGCCTGACTTTCCCTGGGTCTTTGGTCTTCGGTGAATACCATATTTGGATGCTATTTTTTTCCATAGAAGGTTGATGCTGTGTTGGTTACACAACAGCAGTAGCTTACTTTTGAGTTGAAGACTCATTTTGTTCTGTGATCTTGGAACACTTTGTACAACATGATAGAATTCAGGACAGAATGCAATATTATGGATTAAAGCAGAAAAAAGAGTTAATTTTTGGTTTTATAGTTGATTATAGAGATTTTTTGCTGTTCCTAAGTGCTCAACTGGGGTCTTTTTATTATGAAACTTTAAAAGTATCTTATATAGTCAAGTCCAAACTCTAATTTTTAATCTTGAGGAGTTCTTAGAATAAAAGTACTTAATTTTTCTCTTCTAGAGAAACATAGTGTGACACTACGATTAGTAAGATCACATCTTTTCTCCAGCATTGACATACAGTTTTCATTAAAAAAACTTTACACTTTTAAAGTATTTATAAAAGTAGAGAAAATACTATGGAGAGCCCTCATGAACCTGTCACCCAGCTCCAATAATTAACAGTGTTTGTGCCCCTCATCTATCTCATGCATGTCTTTTTTTCCCCCTCTAATATTTTAAAGCTAATATTTAACATATTTCACCCTGAGTTAGTTTGTAAATTTGTCTATGTTTGCAAAACATAACCATCATCCTGTTAGCATGCCCAACATTATTCACAAGTATGGCTCAATGCCGCCTCATACCCGGCATGCACTCAGCATGCTTGGCTGTGACGGTCACATTCATGTTCTGTGTTGAAAGTTAGACAGCAGTAGTGTAGGAATCACTGTATTTGACTATTATAATTTGAAGTCATAAAAAATAAACTAATACAGTTTTGAAAAACCTTTTACCCAAATAAACTAAAAGTATCCTTTAATCACATACTTTTCAGGTGTTTAATTGTGGTACTAGAAGGGTAGATTATAAAAAAATTTCAAAGAAATATTAATTTTTAATATTTGTTTTCAATAAAGCAATGGTAAGGAAAAACCAGTCTGATTTCTTGAGGTCATTTCTAATATGTGTTTAGTCAATATCAGTAAGTTTACTTATAACTCTGAAAGTAGGAAAAGTGATTTAAAAATTCTTATATATACTTTTTCATAATTTATATTGATCTCATGCTCTTTTGTTTTACTGGTATGAAGTCCACCAATCCAAAATTTACTGTTTGTTTAGCACATACACAGAGTCCTACTGTCCATACCTTTTTAGAGGAGTAATAGGTGCAAAGAGATTGTCTCTGGATTTGTATTTTCCTCAATATTGATTTAAACATCACTGTTATTTTTCACCCATATTTGATATTATATGTAAAGCATAATTAACCTTAACTAAATCAGTTTAGAAGACATGTTCCCATTAGGGAGGAAACAGCATAGTTGTTTTAGTTGAAAAGAAAAATAGCATAAAGGTTGTGAAAAATATTTTCAAGCTTGCCTACAAACCTGTCATAATCCCATTCTCCCGACTCCTTATGGCATTTACCAAGCAGATTCCCAAATTTATGTGGAGGAATGAGGGTACATCAATAGCCAAGACAATTTTGAAACAGATCAGAGTTGGACTTATCTACTGGTTATCATGATACTTTATAATACTGTAGTAATTAAAACAATTGATTTAGGTATAGGGATATATGAAAATGTCAGTAGGACAGAACTGGAAGTGCAGAAGCAGACCCAGTAGATAAGTAAATTTAGCCTACGATAACAGTGTCATCTCAGAGCATTGTGGAGGATAAAGGATGGTGTATTAAATAAATTGTGCTGGGACAATTGACTGCCTAGTGGAAAAAGTTAATTTAAATTCCTTTGTCACACCATTCAAAAAAAATAAAGTGCAAATACAGCAGTAAAACAGCATAGTATGCACTTTTTAGGGAAAATATGAGGGATTATGTCTAGGACTGTGAGGTAGCAAAGACCTTATTAAGGTTAAAATATAAGGCTAAATATTGAAATATATAACAAGTAAAGATGTATAGCTATTATACAACTGAAGGTACCATGATCTGAATGAAAAGACAATATGACTTTTGCAGCATAGGTAGCAAACAAAAGATTAGTAGCCATAGTGTTTAAGAACTATAAAATGTCAATAAGAAAAAGACAACCAAAATTCTAAAAATTGATAAAGGATACAAATAGACAATTTATCGAAAAGAAAATATTGATGGTATATACATACATGAAAAAGTGCCCAATCATAATACCAATCAAATAATTATGAATTAAAATGACAAGATGATATTTTAACAAAGACCAATAATATCCAAAATTGTTGAGGGTGTGGAAAAACAGGTATTTTTCTTTTAGTGATAGGAACAAAAATTGATATAGCCAGTTGAGAGACATTTTGATATTTTTTATTAATTTAAAAAATTGAAGATGCACATGCTGTGTGCTTCAGCCATTATATCTTAAGACAGAACACCATCACGTGCACACAGGAAGGCTTGTACAGCAAAAGAAGGTTATAGCAATCTTGCTTGTGGTGTATAAAACTGTAAACAACCTAAATGTCCATCAGTGGCTAAGTAAACTGTTTTCTTGTCATATTGTTAAATATTCTGCAGCATAAAAAAAGAGGAACATTTATATAGTAATGTGGATAGATCTCTACAATGTAGAGTGAACAAATAAGATGCTGAATGATATGTTCAGTATAAATTACGATTTTTTAAAAAATAATTACAACATAATGTGATGAGGACTCATTTCCCACCATCCAGGTTAGGAAATAAAACATTGCCAAGAGATTTGAAGCTGACTGAACCCTTTCTAATGGCACCCTTATCCTTCCCACTGTGTGTCCTACACAATTACCCTGAGCCCATCCACACCCCTGTTCCTAGGTAATAGCTGTCTTGAATTTAAGCTTTTCTCATGCTCTTATATTTCTTTATAGTATTACAACATATACAATACTCTAGTTTTCTAAGTCTGCATATGTATATATATACATAGATTACAAAAAAGGCCTGGAAAGGTTACCAAACTCACTGTGATTACCTTTGGGAAGGAGGAAGGAGTGAAGAAATGAGGCAATTATCAAAGGGGATGTGTGTAATATTTTTATATTTTACAAAGATAAAATATATGGGAAAAAGTGAAGACCATCTCTCCATTACAATGATATCATATAATGATGCTACACTTGTCTGGAACATGCTATTCGAGTTTCTCATGCACATAGTTCTTCAGTTTTATTCTTTGTTTTCAAATTGTTTTGACCATTTTAGGCATTTTGCATTTCCATGTGAATTTTAGAATTAGCCTGTCAATTTCCATTAATAACCTGTTGGAATTGTGATTAGGATTGCAACATATACATTTTTCAAGAATTTAACCTCTTTGAACGTGTTTTATAATTTTCAGTGTACAGGTCTTCGCAGATTTCAACCAATTTATAATTAGGTACTACATCGTTCTTTTTGAAGCTATGATAAATTGCAAAAAATGTTAATTTCCAATTGTTACTTGCCAACATATAGTGGTATGATTGATTTTATTATAATCTATCCTGAGAATTTGCTAAATTCATTCGTTTCTATACCACTTTTGTAGATTCCATAAGATTTTTTACATAGACAGTCATGTCTTCTGGGAATCTAGTTTTACTTCTTCCATTCTATCTAGATTCCTTTAATTAATTTATTTTTCTTTATTACACTGGCTAGGCCGCCAATGCAATGTAGAATAGAAGTGTGAGAGTGGGTATCCTTGCCTTATTTGTGATCTTAGGGAAGTAGCATTAGTCTTTTACCATTGAATATCATTGTTGCTGTAGATTTGTCAGAGATGCTCTTTTTTATGTTGAGAAAGTCCCTTTCTTTGCATAGTGTGCTGAGAGTTTTTAATAGGAATGGGTGTTGTACTTTATCAAATGCTTGTCAGCATTTATTGAGATGATCTTATAATTTTTCTTATTTAGTCAGTTAATATAGAGATTGGTTGATATTTTGACTGTTAAAGCAACAGTTGCATTCCTGGGATAAATTCCACTTGGTCAAAATGTTTTATCCTTTTACAATATTGTTGGATCCAATTTGCTAGTAATTTGTAAAGAATTTTTGCATCTGTGTTAATGAGAGATATTGGTCTGTAGTTTTCTTATAATATTTTTTATTTGGTTTCATTTTGCTTCCTGGATATGCAAGGATATATCTTTCATCAAATTGGGAAAAATTTTGGCTATTATAGCTTCAGATATTTTTCCTGATCCCCCCTTCTCTTCTATCCTTCAGGACTCCTATTACACATCTGTTTGACCTCTTGTAGTAGTCCTACAGATCACTGATAATTTGTTTCCTTTTTCCATTCATTTTTTAAAAAATTTCATTTTGAATAGTTTCCATTGCTATTTTCAAATTCACTGGTTATTTTTCTGCAATATCCAATCACCTGTTAATGCCATCCATTTTGTTTTTCATTTCTGACATTGTAGTTTTTTTCTCCAGGAGTTCCATTTGCATCTTTAAAAATGTCTTCCCGATTTAATCTTTCCTGGAGCTTCTTAAACATATGAATAGAGATATAATAACTGTGTTAATATCTTTGACTACTGATATTAGTCAAATATCACCTTTTTTGACTAATCACCTTTACCATTTCTGGGTTGCTTTCAATTGAATGATTTCTCTCCTCATTATAGGTTACATTTTTCTACTTCTTTGTATGCTTGATAATTTTTTATTGGATACCAGACATTGTGAGTTTTACCTTATTTAGTGCTGGATATTTTTGTATTTTAATAACTATTCTTGAGCTTTATTCTAGGATGTGGCTAAGTTATGGAGTGGCAGTTTCATCTTTTCAGTTCTCACTTTATACTTTCTTACATGCGACTAGGGAAACATTTAGCCTTGAGCTAATTTTGCTTTGCTATTGGGGCCAAACCCTCTGAGTACTATAACAGATGCACCCAAAATGAGGTTTTTTGCTTTGGTGGGAAC